AATATTAAAATATTAAAATATTAAAATATTAAAATATTAAAATATTAAAAATATTAAACTCTTACAAATTACTGTCCCATTTTGAAAATAAAGACATTCCCTCGTTTTTTATTTAATATTTATAAAAATATAATTTTTATATTTCTATAAAATTTTCGATTATATTGATTTTCTTATTTAGAAAGAGCGACGGAAAATAAATCCCAATCGTGTCAGAATAAAACAGTGGAACGTGGCGAGTAAAGAATCGTCGACGATAAAAAATCACATAGCTGATCGAAACTCCATACTTGACAATAACCCTCGTCGTTATTCAAAAAACAACGTCGCGTACTCTTCATCCTCAAGACGGTATCAGAAAATTAACGAGTCACCCGACGAGGATATAAGAAAACGTTTGACGAAGCAAACGAAGAATCCGACAAAGAACTCCGCTAATCGAGGAATCGAATATTACGACAAATATCACGACAAACCGATTAAAATGCAATCAAAACGAGATGAGACCGAAATTGGGAGCGACAGAATCGCCAGGCAGATCTCGAACAATTCTGTCATTAACGATAATCGATTCGGCGATCGTTCGAGGCGGCGGTTCGCGAACGGAAATATATTATACGACAAGAATCTAATTTACGACGACGGATTAAAACCTTGGGAGAGCGGTCGTTCCGTAGTAGCTCAATCCGATGAAGATAACACCATCGACGACGTATCCACGTATCTGCCGTTATCGGCCGAACAGAAAATTAATCCGGAAAGTTCGTATTACATTCCCGAAATAACTGCGGAAGATTCGGCATTCAATCAGATATCGAATATCGGTCAGCGCAAGGAAATCGAATCTTCCACCGAAAATTCGATCGACTCCAATCTCGATCTGGCGCAGATTTTTACCACCAGCGCGATCTTCGATCCCCAAATCGAACACATTCGAACCGGAGACGCGTATCGGAACAATTTAAACGTCCCTCGTTTGTATCATAATTCAGACAGGCCGGAAGTAATCAAACCTGAGGAAGTGAAGGTGCTTTATCCCGAGGCGAAAGAATCGATAGGGTCCTCGTTATACGCGCCGCATGTTCTTCGCAAGATTCCGGGAACCTTGAACGTGTACGTCGCTGAGAAAAATGCTGAATCGGCAATACCGTCGGAATATTTTTATTCCGTTGCTTCCACGAGACCACCTTTGCGGAAAATTAACGATCACACCTCGGTTCTTCCTCAATCGATCGCCAATCGACCGGTCGAACATATTTTACTTCCCGATCGGGACGAAGACGTTGAGCGGAGTCGCTACAAGATCGATCAAAAGCAAGCAATGATCGAGGAAGAACGTAAAGCGAAACAGGAAGCAGCCGATGTTTTCCACGAGCAATCTAAGAAGGACAAAGAGAAACTTGCGAAGATAAGCAACACTCTTGTAACAGTTGCGACAACGGAAGAAAGCAAACGTGCGAATGTCTCCGCAGCATTGAACGAAACTAAGGAAGTCGCCAGCCAGATATTGGAAAAAATTATTGACGAGCTGGAGGAGATTAAATCAGATCGAGTGTCTGAAAACGAACAAGTAGAAGGTTTTCATAAACAGACAAATATCTAAACTTTAATATTTTTAATTGGAGCAAAATTAAACTGACGAATTCTTTTTTCTTTTTTTTTGTTTTTAAAAAGTTCAACTTGAATGAATTTTTAACTAATATAATATAATAATAAAAATGAATTTGAGGTGTGACCTCCGGTTCGAAATGGTTATTCCAAAATTACGTTGATAAAATCGGCTGTTACGAACCAGTGCAAGGTGTATTGCAATATTAGAACAATTTTGTCTTATTGACAAAACGTTTCGACTTTATTGTTGAAGTCTTCTTCAGTTGTACACAAATTAACAAAAAATTATAACTATGACTGTCACATTTTCACAATTTCAGCTGTACAATTACAATTAAAAATAAATGATCGTTAAATTGTTATATGTCAAGGTTTTAAAATGTGTCTGACTATCATGGTCGTGTGTGCGACACAGTCAGTCGCACACGACCATGATAGTCAGACACATTTTAAAACCTTGACATATAACAATTTAACGATCATTTATTTTTAATTGTAATTGTACAGCTGAAATTGTGAAAATGTGACAGTCATAGTTATAATTTTTTGTTAATTTGTGTACAACTGAAGAAGACTTCAACAATAAAGTCGAAACGTTTTGTCAATAAGACAAAATTGTTCTAATATTGCAATACACCTTGCACTGGTTCGTAACAGCCGATTTTTATCAACGTAATTTTAATATAATATAATTCGTTTTCAATGTGGAAAAATAAAAGTTTTGTTTGTGAAAAAAGTTTAATTTAATTTCTTTATTATTTCTTTTTTTAATTTTTTGTTTTTAACATTCCACGAATTATTTCAATCGAATGAAATATGATGGCTTCTATTCGGAAATCAGGTTTGCCTTGTAAAGTATCGGGATCGTGGGTGACCACTCAGGGCGGTGTGCGAATCGATATGAAAGTCACCAATCACACTATAAACGTGACTCTCGCAAGACTGTCGCCTCCACCTTCACGGGGTTTGCTGGACCCCGCTTGGAATTTAAGCGGATACGCGCCGTTCGCACCGGGCGAACCGTTTTCTTTGATTGCCATTGACAATCGCACGAAGTCCCTGGCCGCGTTCGCAGGTATGCGACATGTATATAAACGTTAATGCGATTTTTAATAAATATGAAAATACGCGAGAAACTAATCAAAAATTTTAAAAAAGATTTATGATGATGACACGCAGGTGCGTGCAGAGTGTGCCAAGGTATCGACACGATAGTGGGTGTTTGGTCGATCGTTCACAGTCCGCAGGACTGCCGTGACTTTCAGGTGGCCACGAATATTTACAACGACGTATTTCGCCGAACAAAATTGTCGTCGGAAGTGAAGCGGAAACATCGAGAGATCGTGCGATTGCTACAAAGGAACACCAGAAATCACACAACGGCGGTCGAAGCTCTGACGAACGGCATAGCGCCGCAAAATAGCACGTCGCAACGAAATAATACGTCGCAACGCAGCAAAGAGAAAGAAAAGAGTTAGAAAAAAAATGCGAAAGAAAGTGAGAAAGAGAGAGAATCGAGATGATAAAATTTAGACAACGCGATAAAAGAATGTAATCAATAAAAAAATCAAACTCTAAAAATTCAGCATGTTGCGAGAAATGCAAAGTTTTTTTTTTTTAGAATTAAGAATTGTATTGCGTTGTTTATCAGTATCAATTTAATAAAAGAACAAAGTACAATTTTTCACAATTTAGACGATTTTCAATAAATTTACATTTATGTAATTCGACGTACTACAAGTTTAAATTTTCTTGTTTCTCGTTCACAGAACATTTGTCACATCTCCACCACTTTATCTCACCTCGCACACTTTTTATTTTTCTTACACGTTAACACATGGCTACAGAAATTGACGAATTACATCGTAACCCCACACAATGATCTGCAGTAGAATTTTAATCAATATTAAATAATCATAATTATTAAATTAGTAATAACAAGAAGAAGATTCTTCGGGCTCAGGAGTTTTTAAACTAATGAATGAAATAAATTGGGTTGTAAGAGCCGTTTGCAGGATGTTACATAATTGTATGGGCTATATGATCAAAGAAAAATGTCGATAACAATTATTCATTTATTTACTTATCTATGTATTTAAAAAATCCCGTAAAGAATAGAAAAAAAATTTAATTTTTTCTAATAATAAAAGTTTTCTTGTATGTAAACCTTGAAATATAAAAAAATAAGTAAATAAAGAATTATTAATACAGTAATAAGTAAATACCTAATTACAAAAGTATAAAAGAACTCAGTCTTAACTTATCTTGACATTAGACTTATTCATTTCAATTAAAAAAGTATAAAGTTTATATTTTCGCGTCACATTAGTTAGTCGTCGGCAGTTATTGATTTTTTATGTATATTATATGCTGCTTATTAGTTCCTGTCATTTCGTTGCTACGGCGTACGAGCGCGCGAAAAAATGACAGCTCCGAGCTGTCATTTTGCATGTGGCTGCACGCTCATTCTTGGATCTTTATGTATTAAAATCTCCTTAAATATTGCGAATCTCGCAAAATGGTAAAGGACTTTTCGACTCAGAATAATCTCTTCTATCTACACACGAGCGGTTATACGGTCATTATATCAGACACCCTGTATATATGTGTATACATATATATATATTTAAGCACATTCTCTGCACAACATCCTGCAAACGGCTCTTACAACATAATTATTAAATCACATTAATGAAACAAAAATAAAAATAATATTACCTTCAAGACGCCGATCTGTTTACGTAGATCGTTTACAATTGACAATGATATTTCTTGTTGATCATCGCCGAGTATATACTTCTTCAAATTAAGCGTTGCGTAACTAAAACCCCAGCCATGCGTTTTCAATCAAGCGTTATATAAGCAAACTATGCAATAATGGTCACATAAACGGTCAGATAAAACAACAGAACACTCACCCGATTTCCTCGCACTCTTTGGTTTCGTTTTCGTCGGGCATCGGTTCGCAAACAACAATAAACGTTACGTTCGGACTCATTTTTTCGGTCAACATGTCACGTAACATGTCTCTTTCTCTGGGATGTGTTCTTTCATTTACTCGAAATTCTGAAATTGCGATAATTTTGTCTTCTTTGCTAACACTTCTCTATTGATTCTGATTTGCATTTTTCAATAAACTGGCACTCACAGAAGATAAGATTGTGAGATTTACTTTTTCTGAAATTGTAGATCATCTCTCGATTAGCGCGTTTTGGCTTCTTTACCGCGATGGTCTCCATGTTCTTGCCGTAATGCCCGAGGAAGGAATATTCCACGTAAAGTAACTGTATGTCGTCATCCTTCATCACGGGACTGTTCTCCAAAAATCGCATACTCACTATTTCTATAGTTATCGTATCCTTTTTATTATCCTGAAAAGCGAAAACATGTCAGAATCATGTTTTCACGACGATAATGTTCGGAAGTCAATATATTTTGTGTTTTTCTTTTATTTTGTTTTTTTAAATAAACTCTCAAGATAAAAAACTTTTTACATGCGTGTACATCTCAATCATGTACTAATCGATTAATTTTGGGGAAAAAAACGATTTTTATTTAAGCGGAAATTAATTTTTATTTTGTAAATTTTGATCTTTTTACTCCTCTGCATTCTCGTTCTTATAAAGTATCTTAAACATAAATAATGGAGCAAAAAATGGAGTTCGTACACGAGCAGAAGTGTCATGCCGGCAATCCTGCGAGTCCACATTTAACGATTTAGGTCCTGGAAGTGTTTTTTTGAAACAACTAGTTCAGTACACGAGAGCGACATTCTTATCGGCATTAATGCGAGAATGTAAAGATACAAAATTGATTACTAATTGCATTGTCACAAGTCAGCAGACTCCTCTGCCTGTACCTCTCCCAGTTTTTCTTCGAAAAAACCTCGTTTATGTCGCGGATTGTGCTGCGTGATTCTTGGAGCAACAAAACGTCCTAAATAAAAACGTCCGGAATCTCGGATAATTTCCAGACGAATGAGCCAATTTTCACAGAATCGCCAGAGCTAATTTTTTTTCGTAACATTGCTGAACATATCTTACATTCGCGAGTAGAGACTTAAACTCCGCCAGGCTCGGCGTGTCCTTTCGCGCGTTCGATTTCTTGTTGCTTTCGTCATCTTGCGATGTTGCGAAAGCTGGACTAATTAATACACATTATTTATACAACTTTTACCAGTGTGTGAACAAGAAAAATATCGACAGGAATTAATAAAAAATATTTTTTCACATTATCATATTTTGCGGATTATATATAAGCGGAATTATATAAGCGAAAATTGCGCGAAAAAATAAGTGGTAAATCATTTCGGTAAGCGTCCTCACACCTTTTTATTGTAATCACTTCATTGTTGCTGTCTTCATCGGATTCATTTATGTCGTTGGAACATTCGTTATTCGATTCGGTATGCTTCTCCCAGTCCGAGTTTTCAGTTTCATATTCATCTGTGATTTTAAATTATGTTAAAGAGTTTTGATCGTATAGATATATTTAATAAACACAAATTGCAAAGTTACCTGATCGATCATTCGAATATTCAGATACGAAATTGTCCTTCGCATCCCGATCGAAAATCGATATTTCTTCGGCGGCGACTTTTTCTTGAGGAGGTGCGGCTGGAAAATTTGGCCGCGAGGTCTGAAACGCGTTCTCTTCCGCTGGTGGGACCGTCGGAGGAGCGTCCCGCAGCGGGATAATGCCGCATTGTTTCTTAAACGCCTCCACCATCTCGACGTTGCAACTCAATCGTGTCCAGAGCGATAGCTGACCAAAGTTAATGCCGCAGAAGCAAGAAATGACGCCGTTCACCGGCACGATGTAATGCAGCTTGTTCTGCGGATAATCCAAAATATCCTTGATGGACACTTTCGCGCGCGCGAGCATGCAGCTGGTGTTGTCCCGACGAACGATGTTCACCCGAAAGATCAGATAATCCGACAGCACGTTCTTGAAGAAGGAAAAGAGATCGTTTATGTGGTACACGCAGGACGAGTTGAAGTTCAGATTGGGACACTTCATTCGCGGCGTGTGAGCCGTCTTCTCGCCCCAAAGGTCCCAGCTTATGTAAACGAGAAGGTTGCATATGTCCTCTGCCTCGGGAATTTTCGTGACCTGATAATCTCAACGATTGCATGCAAATAATTTTTTTTTCAGTGAAAAAACAAATCGACTTAATGACTAAGCTCTTACGTATTCTCCATGTAAATAAATAAAAGCGTTGATTTTTTTTTCATAAAAACTAGGGAAAAAACAGAAAAAAAAAGAATTGCAAAAGAAATAAGATAATTATAGTTATAAATTTATTCAATTGTACATGTGTGTTACATGTACATAAAATCCCAGATAGCCAAATGTGAAAACTCAATATAAAGCAAATCATTGTATAGATTAAGTTGCTCGCCAATTGCTGTTGTGTTGTTTTTATTTAATGCAACGAAAATGTTTTTGTCAATTCAGTATCAATATGCTGAGTTTTATTATCAATCAATTGTTGTAGCCAATGTTTAAGACATGTGAGTCAGCAATATGTGAGCAATATATGAGCAATAATTTTTATTCATAAGTTGAGAAAAATAATATAAGTTTATTGCCGATGAGTTGTTGAGAACTTGCTGTTATTATATTTTGAAAAACTGTTGCTGGCAAGAACATACTGAAAAGAGAATACACCTTTTTGTTACATTACTGAAAACATACGAGTAATATTTGTGGCAAGTTGCCAACAACTTGCACTCAGTTGGCTATCTGGGATGTCCGCAAAATTACGTCATTTTTTTATTTATCATTTTTTTGCGGCACTAACCGATGTAGATAGTTGCAGTCGCGAAATGTGAATCTCGATGAGACCCTGTTTGTCGGTAATTAATAAAGGAGAGGACGGTGTGGGACGCATCAATGATTCCAATTCGTCTTTTAAATATTCAATCTTGCAAGGTACTTTTTGCAAGGATGACGTCAAACGTTTTTCCGCCTAAACAAAAATATCGATGTTACAATAACATTTAACACAATCTTTGCTTACATAAGTTACTGACGCGGAGACATGACGGCTTTCTGCATTTCTCGTAAGTTGTAGGGGAAAAGGTAACTTTTGTCGATACGTCGGCGTTTTTCATTGAGACATTTGTGGATTTTTCTTCGCACTTGAGCTTCGTGTAACTGTCGGTTCTAACAGCAGTAGACAGAAGCACATTTCTCGTGATATCGGATTCTAGATTCGCAATTATCGTGAAGTACAAAAAACAATTTTACATATATATTTATAAATTTTATATTTTTCATCGATTGTTAATATTGATTTGTCGTTACCGAGAGTTTCTGTCGTGTTTGCGCTAAGATTGTCTTGCTTAATATCAGAAGTATTTATCGAAGAGATAATATTGTTGTTAACATCAGTAACCGGAGTCTTGACAGGGTCTTGATAACTTGATAAGCATTCTTGCAAAACATCAAATAGAATCAGAAAGATTTGAACTAACGTCACACTGGAATTTTCCAAATTTGCGATTTTCTGTGAAACTTCCTGTACAAGATCTGATCCATCTCGAAAAGATACTTCTTTATTGCTGTAATAGACAATCCCGGTGATATTGTATATAAATCTTTTATATATTTTTATATATATCTTTTTAAGCATAAAGTAGCGCGCGTATGAAGTATAAAAAAAAAAAATTATTTTATTGCTATACATAATTGTGGCAAAATAATATAATATTATGTATTTCTTATTTAGTATAATCTTTATTTAAGTAAATAAAATATATGTATAAAAATGTATCCTATTTGAGAATATCAAAAAGCTGCTCTTCGTATCTGTTTGAACTAAAGTTTCATACAATACACAGATTGTCATTCATTTAATGTGATAATATCTATATGCGACACAAGAAATACAAAATATAAAAAAAAAAAAATTGACAAAGTCTCTGATTGAAAATAAATACACATACATACATATATATATATATACATAATAAACGCATAATAAGCACATACTAACACAACATGACAACACAAATGTGACAATAGATCACTTTTTGGCTAGATCTTTGTGCCTCGTGGCACGCAGTCTCAATACAGAATCAGGAATCACCGAACAATAACTTTTCGAGAGGTACAACTTGCCTATGCCTCTGAGCTACGTTCAAGATACTCGCATAATCTTCCTTCGAGGCGATCATCGAGGTGTCCAAAGGCGTATTGATCTGTGCCTGATCCAACAGCTTCAGTATTTTTTCCCGCGATAAGACTCTGGTGCTGTTCGTTTCTTGATTCTTCAATTCCTTTAATGGCGATGATTGCAACGATGCTATCTCATTGTTCGGGGTCGTCATAGTATCTTGATTCTTGGTAACAACAATTCTCGTTTGCACCGACTTGTTGATCGGTTGCCAATTTTCTCGAGTGTTGCTGACGCATTTTTCCAGTTGCGTGATTTTGTCCAACATCTCGCAACATTTCTTGCACTGCTCTTGCGACGTAACGGGCTGCTTGTCGAAATTCTCTAACCTCGCACACACGTTCGAGATCGTCATTTTAGCATCGTCCTGTTTAAAAAAATGCGTTTGCACGCATATTGTAAAACTGAAAGTCATTTTTTCTCTATTACGTATAAGATTTAAAAATAGACATGTACACTAACCGCTAATTGTACTTTCAAGGTATCTATGTTCGCCTGCAATTGTTGAAGTTTCGCGAGTAATTGCTCATTGGTAGTTTTTAACGCTACAATATTAGCTTGTTCGTTGTTGAATGCACTTTTCAAGGTCTGTTGCTCCTGAGCGTGTTCCGAAAGCTTCTTTTTCAATTCGCCGTTCTCCATCTCAACTTGGCTGTATTTTGAAGTGAGCATAATAAGCTCATTATTATGTTGCTGAAGAATTTTAATTTCGCTCATGAGATCTCGTATCTGCTCATCCTTCTCGCGTAACGTGAACTGTGAGTCTCTCGCCTTCAACATCTGTTCGTCGATCTCGGCTAAACGCGTTCTTTCCGACGTGAGAACGGCCACGATTTCTTGATTGTTCCTGAAAAAAAAAAAGAAAACGCGATCGTAAATAATATATCAGATCTAGAAGTACATCGTATATATTATTAAGACGGACGTAACGGCTCGTTTACTTTGTCGTTTGCTCGAGAGTGAGTCTCAGTCCGTTAATTTCAGTAGTCAACGCGACGTTCTTTTCCTGCGCCGTAATTAGTTTATCATTCAGCTGCTTCATCTGTCGCCACACTCGTATGTATTCCAGATTCTCCGCTATTTTCTCTTTTTGACTACTAGTCACAAGCGCCAGCTCCTTCTCCAACTCTGCTATACGATACGTCATGTCTTTCTTCTGCGCCTCCAGTTTCTACAAAACGAAGATCGAACGCTAAGCGGAAATTATAACGGAAATTAAAGCAATTTTGCGCATTCAGACCGAAGCCATTTAGTGAGTTATTTAAACAGGATATCATATTGCACGAAGAAATATTGGTAAGTATTTACAAAAGGTCACCACCATCAGAATTCAACAAGGTTGACATATATGTCGTCAAGAACACCTTTCGGAGTAACAATCAAAATGTTTTAGCCATCGCTCGTTGTTAAAAAGTTATAAATAAAAAAAGTTTCATAAATAAATTCTTATTTTCCGACATCATGTACATTTTGTTTGTGTTGCAAGCGTGCAGACAGAGGGGGCTACGCCCCCCGCCCCAAGTAAAGTGGCTCCGCCTCTCCCCCTCGAGAAGAAATAGGGAACGACTTCCGATTAAGTGTTGCTAAAAACCACGTACATATTATTGACATGAAGCGACATGTAATCAGAAGTCGTTCCGTATTTTTTCTCGAGGGGGGTGCAGGGAAAGGAGCGGAGCCACTCCTCCTGCGGGGGGCGTAGCCTCCCCTGCCTACACGCTTACAACATGAACCTAGTACGTGAATGTTTCTTCTAAATGTTTACATTATATTATTTACCTTCACTGTTTATTTCTTCTCATATCTATGAATTCTCACGCGTTCTTGTTTATCTAGTTCATCGAAGTTCTTTTTGAAGTTCTATATATAAATAATTGAACGTACTTATATATATATATATATATATATAATATTTTCTTTGTAAAACCTTTATGTATAAAAATATGCATATTTAAGTGTATTTATACAGTATACGTAAACTCGATACACCTTTTTAAGATCATAACTTTTTAATGAAGAGCGAGCGACGGCTAAAACCTTTTGATTGTTACTCAGAGAGGTGTCCTTGACAACATATGAATTCTGAGGGTGATGACCTTTTGTGCAAATATTTAACAATAATTCTAATCTCATTGTAATAATGTTATTTTATTTTATTTAAAAAAAAATATAATAAAAATTGAATCTTTTTGAGTAAAACAATAGACCGATTGAAATTCGCGCGAGTATTTTTGAAGCTCTAGGAAGTAACTGTCTCACCTCGATTTTAACGAGGTAATTGTCATCGTCTCCTCCTCCTCCTCTTCCGACGATACACTGACAAGACGGTACTCTCGTGCGGTTGTTCTCGCTTCGGCACGTTCTAAAAGACGCGGATTTAGTATCGCATTACGGTAGTTTATTGTCTCGTAATGTGCGTGTATTATTATACCGCGAGTAACTTACACGAGTCCGGAAGACGTCGGCCTGGTGCGGCTGCGTGATGTCGATCTGCTGCTCATTGTGTGACTCAACAACTGATTTCTCATCACAGCAATCTTTTCTTTCAACTGAAACATTTAGCGAATCGTCCGTTATAGCAAAATATCGGTATGATTTTAACATAAAAATCATGATGCTGGATTACACATAGGATTATTAAAAAATCAATTACAGTCCGGAAAAGTTTTTACAGCAAAAGAAAACTTTTTTTTAGAAAAAATATTCTTTTTATAGTAAAAAAAAAAAGAAATTAACTTTTTGCCGTGATTTCGAAAAAGCCTCTACCTTGATATTTTCGTATTCGAGTGACGCCGTTCGGTTTTTATCTTCGATATCTAACGCCAATCCACATGATCTTGGAGTACCGGCCAGTCTGAGCAGCTTCGTGCCGAGCCGTTTGATTTTGTCTTCCTGACAATTCGACAGTTTCTTCAGATTGCTGGCCTCGTCGAGCAATCGCAGATATTTGTCTTCCAACTCATAGCGATCGAGTTTGCAAACTAGGTGACGTTCTCTAGGATCTTTTGTGTACGACAACACAAATGTTATAAACGGACTGACACATCGCACATACATGCGAAAAGTCATATATTCTCTCTGTAAATACAATAAGGATACAAACCTATAGCACTGGCACATATGTCCGCGTAGGAACCTTCTTTTACAGGCACCATATCGTGATTTGGATCATCGGTCATGTTCATTAAGAATTCTCTTGGAACCGTCAAATGTATTAACTATTGATTGGCACACATAAACGCTGAAAATTCAACACGTAAAATCGAATTAACGATTAATCATTTGCAAAAAGGTATTAAATAAAGCGCGCAACAACAACAAAATCGTTTTAAATGTACTATCGTTTACGGTTTTTCTTCATAGTTCGATTTTTTTTTTTTTTTCATATAAATATGGTTATCTTCAACATTGAAACTGTCAATGATTAATTCTTATTCTTACCGAGAAAACGGTTATTTATTCGGACATGGTATTTATTTGTACAAAAATGATACCTATATATACATATGTATATATATTATCGTTTTTTTAATTCCGTTCTCAAAATCGTAAAAAAAGTCGAGCGATCGATATTGCCGTATATTATGCCAATTTCGGACTGTATCGTTACAAACGATAAAACTCGTTCTGATAAGATTGCGAGTAATTTTTCGGTACATTAGCTATCATTTTATCTGGATAAATGTGTACAATGATATTTTTTCCAATTAAGAGTGTGTAAGAGAGAATGAATACTTCTACATCTTTCTCTCTCTCTCTCGCGAAAACTGTCCTTTGTACAAACGACGCATCTGACGGCAAATCTGCAAATAGCTCGTTCTTTTTTCACAACGTTGGTTGAAGCAAATGATGAAACCGTAGTGAGAAACTTTTATAGCGAACAATTTTTTTTGTATCAAATAATAAAGTATCATAATAAAAAAAAAAAAAAAAAAACTGCTAAATATATATATATGTATATATAATTAACGGTTTATTAAGTCTTTATTGATACAAGGTAAAATTTATGTCATCAACTATACCGTTAGGGTGTGTATAAAAGATAGCGGTTATCGCTGGTTATCGCTTTTGTCCGACTCTCGAGAGATTAAATGCTATGTGTGCTATCTGCTAGAACTGAGTTATTCCATCATTCATTTCACTTGTCCCCAAATACGAAGGACATTTTTCCGGGAGCAAATAATATGAGTCATTCTTATCCGATCCCCACATTTCGCGTATGAATCATCTTCACGTAATCTTTAAATAAACGTCGCAAAAAGAAAAGTTACACACAAGGAAACTGAGTCCTCTGGTCGCGAGAAAAAAATATCGAAAATATAGTTACATGAATATTAAATATATATTTAATACGTTTATGTAGTAAAGTATTTATATATATATAATATATTTAATATTATTATATTTAATATTTAATATATTTGTATATTTCTATACAAGTAAATATTTTTAAAACTTATAGGATAGGAGTGTCTCAATAAATAATTATTTAAAAAACCTTGATGCGTATCTTTCAAAAAATTTAAATTATAAAACATAATTGTAACAAAGTCTCGGGAGAGACAGTAAAAAGCACGCTCGTAAAATCCCATTAAAAAAATAAACATATCTTACTATTTTATTGCAAATTTAAAATAAATTCTACACGGTAGAAAAAAAAAACAGATAATGCAAGAGATAATACAAAAGATCTTGAGACTAAATTTTTCTCATGATAAAATCAAGTATATATATATATATATATCTCTATTAATTTTGCTCAACTTTATAGATTCTTGCATATAATACAATCTAATTTTCGCATACAATATCATCCGATCTAAGTTTTTGTTGTATTAAAAATACTGTTTTATTTTAAACGCCAAACGCTTATATTATGACGTGTCTCGATTATTCGATACGATATACGATCGTGGATGAAACTCATAAAACCCGATGCCCGTTCCGTAAGGTCATGCGAGGTGCTTCGAGGGGAAGGACCTCTCGGACGGAAGGAGATAAAAAAGAAACAAAAAACAAAAAAAACAACAGGCGCATCTCAACACAAGGTGGTTGCGTCGTGTCGCGTCACCGGGTATACAGAGCGCCGTCGCGAGCGGCATCACGAGAACGGGACGCGAAGTTACCTATACGAGAGCCAGAGAGATCCAGCACAACCTGAGGCCCGTCCGTGACCACCGCACCGTACCCTCGCTTTTGACATCGGCGGCGACGGCGGCGGCGGTGGCGGCGGCGGAGTGTGCGTGCCAGTGGGCAAGGTAAGATGGCGGCGGACGGAGATGCGGTGATTTCGGATCAGGAAAAAGTGCGAATAGTCTCGGATTTTATATTGCACTCGCCGCCGGGCGAGTTCAACGAGGTGTTCAACGACGTGAGGGTCCTGCTGAACAACGACAACCTGTTGAAGGAGGGCGCGTCCGGGGCGTTCGCTCAGTACAACAAGGACCAGCTCACGCCTGTTAAGGTACATCGTCGTCGTCATCGCGCACGCCGCGACACGCCGATCGTCGACACGTACACCGGGGATCACGCAAGCCGGGACGACGTTTTCTCGTCGCGCGTATCCGGGGAAACGCGCGCGACTTCGCCGTCCTCCTCGTCGCGCGTTCGCGTATTCGGGGGCTCTCCCTTATTTCCCAAGTATATCGATTCTGAAGATCCGCGAGGCGCGACCACGGTGACGTTTACGTTTTTCTGTTATCCTTCGGGATTTGCACCAGGTGACGTCCGTTCCCGGCTGGCGGACAAAACGACGTTTTCGCGATTCTCGCGTGCCCCTTCGCGCGATAGCACCGTTTCGCTTTTCTCCGATACTCTGTGCCGGGTCGTAGAAATCTTGTTGACTGAAGTAGACGACGAGAATATTGCTTCACTACATCAAATCTCACTATGTTCCTCAACGTATATGGACTTCGTATAAGTTTTCCTTTCTCCCTTCTTCCGAGTTCACGACAGTTGCTCTACTTTGGCTCTGTATATTTTGGAACGGCACGACTCAGTTAAGGTTAGGCCTTGCCTCGTCCCCAACATCAAAGTGTTCTCTCCTCTGTTGTTAGTTTTCAAGTCGTTAAAATTATTCTTTGATAATGAAATCACAAGTGCGAGCAAGCCCGTGTGTGCGTTTGATTAGCATGTAAGAAAAACCAAGTGCGCAAGACAAATTATAGTTAAAATTATGCTCTCTCTCTTTGCATACAGATAGAGGGAAGCGACTATCCAGCTCTCATAACAGAACACAATGATTTGAGTTCTCAGAGGTTTTACGATGCACGGAGTAAGCAGAGTTTTAAATATGATCACTTGAGGAAGGAGGCGCAAGATTATGAATCTTACGAACCAGATCCCTTGGCGGAACCATGGAGATCGGCCCTTCAGGATGAGATAACGAATTATACTCAAAGTCATTACAGACACGGCGCCTGCTCAGTATTCGGGAAATCTCTCGGAGGTATAATTGGCATTTCTTCAGGTTCAAATAATTATTTAAATAATTAGACACAGGATATTGAAATAACCTTTGTTTGTTTCTTTATGCAGGAAACATAACGCTAACGGCGTGCATAGAGGATCACCAGTTTCAACCTAAAAACTTCTGGAACGGCCGCTGGCGTTCGGTGTGGACCGTAAGTTTTACTCCAAGTTCGGGAAACGCCGAATTGAGAGGTAGCCTCAAAGTACAAGTGCACTACTACGAGGACGGGAATGTACAGCTGGTCAGTAGCAAAGAGGTGAAGGAGAGCTTGCCGATCTCGAACGAGAAGCAAACGGCGAAGGATTTGATACGGTTTGTCGAGGAATCCGAAAACGATTATCAAACGGCAATCTCCGAAAACTATCAAACGATGTCCGACACCACCTTTAAGGCGCTGCGAAGGCAACTGCCAGTAATGCGAACAAAAATCGACTGGAACAAAATCGTGTCGTACAGTATTGGCAAAGAGCTTAAAAGTCAATAGAAATAGATTTTTTTATATATAATAATATTAAAAGAAATAATTAAAAAAAAAAAAAAAAAAAAAAAAGAAAGGAGAGCACAGCGCATTTTGCTGCATGAGTGAAGTCTGGAGGTGTGATGTGCATGGGAGCAAACCACTACGTCTGATTTAAGAGATATTCGACTCATGCATGCCACTAAAAGGTTCCTCTCGACTCCGTATTGTATGTGTTGTTACAAGAAGCAATAAAAAAAAAAAAAAAAAAAAAGAGAAGATTTCAACACTTTCGGCGTTGTTAATTGCACAAAAAAACAAAATTGATAAGTTAATTAAAAATTTTTTCCACACAAAATGGATTCTGTACAGTTCACAAGTTCGTTGTGAGGCAACATGATGAGGAGAATGACTCGGTTATAATTATTACTTCTCTCTAAATGTGCTGATTGTAAAACCTGGAAAGTACTCGATGTGTGTGGTGGAACCTTTGCGTAAACCGCGTTGTTTCTTCGCTTTGTTATCTTTCTAAACTGAGAAAAAAAAAAAAAAAACCTAACATGAGATCCATGATATTCGCATTGTGCAGCATAGTGCAGGATATAATCCTTAACTTCCGGAGAGAACACAATGAAGAGAAAAAAAAATAAATAAATAAATAAATAAACTGTCGAAGATCTATTCACACATTATTTAAATAGGGTAATGGGGATCCTTGCTCTTACGTTAAGTAATTGAACTAAAATTGAATTCGCGGTGTGTGTTGAATAGCTTGAGATTATGAGACAGAATAGCGAAAAATAAATTTAAACTATTAATCATGTAGTTATTGAAATATAACGAGCAGATGGAAGCAGTTTTTTTTTCTTTTTTCCAAGGAATTTGCAAATTTTCGCAAATTCTATCTAGAAACGTAATAACGTCAGTGACATAATGTATATTCGATTTTGTCTCTATTTATGTGTTTTCACTTATACAATAAATGTTTTTTCTTTCCTGCGAGAGAGGGAAGCGAATGCGGGATATATAATATTCACTGAGGTTATTCTTTTTCATTGATAAACTTTGCGAACATATAAACAACTACATCGATCTGCTCTAGTACAATTTTTGTGTCACTCTCTGACAGTTTTTCACCCTGAAGCGAAATAACTTCAAATTGCTTTTTTATTATTGAATTTTTTCGCAATGTTCATTTTACAATGGAAAACATTGAAATGTACAATTTATTGTTTACATAATTTGTTTTATTATACAAATGATTGTGAAAAGCCTGTATGGAAAACAAAATAACAAAATATTTACACGACGCAGGACAAATAAATCTCTCACGGATGTGCCGATGTGCGAGTAAATTTAACGGAATTGAGAATTCGTGTAAGGGAGAAAAAAAAAATATTTATACTAGACGTATTTTCGAAGACGAAACAAATCTCTTGTAAAACTTTTTTAAGTCTTAAGATTTATATATCGATTTTGAAACGGCACGACGGCGCATCTCGTGTGTACTCGCAAACTACTTCGTAAAAAAAAAAGAAGAATAATCTACTCTCTCTCTCTCTTTCTCTCTGATTATTTCGTTACTTATCGACGAAAAAAAAAAAAAAACCTTGCCGGGTCCATGGGTGATGTCAAACGCATAATATATCAAACGTAATACGAAGACATTGATAGACGTGTCTATGATTTTTGCCAGCTCGGTACCGAACACACCGTCAAGTGTTCATTGCCGCGTTCAATACACAAAGTAGAACGAAAAAGGAGAAAAGAAAAAAAAAGGAAACATAACTCTTAACAAGATATTGGTGGGCGAGGCCTACTATTTTTATCCAACTTTATATTTCATAAAGGTATAAGTCTATATACATTTTTGTTAAAATGTATTGTTTTATAAATATAAGTATGTCTATTATATATATATGTTGTATATATATATAATGGATACGTTGCAAAGTTTAATGAACTACTGAAATAAAAAAAAAAAAATAAAATAAAATAAATAAAAATAAATGTTAATCATTGCGCAACTCTGTCTTCTAAATTCAATCATTCGTTTTTACATTTAGTCAAAGACTTGCGAGAGTCATTCACAAAAGCGGAAAGCGTTGGGAAAGCGTCTCTTGGTGCTATCGCTTACTACACACATTACACAGCCAGACATTGTATGCAAAAGAAAAAAAATAACAAAATGGAAAACTAACAAAGTACATAAAATACATTGTACATTGTAGGACGTAGCCTATAGTCTGCTGGAGCCTTAATCTGTTCACTTTACGTTGGGGAACGGGGTATAGGGGATGGAGAATCGGGTCTCTCGGGGAATATATACTATGTACATATGTTATTTGGATGAATGAATGCGATGATGCGCAACCAAACCATTTGACTCTTAATTGCAATGGGATTCGAAACGTGTGTGTGTGTAACATTATTCATTAACTTTGTAAGTTACATCGTAATTCAAGGCGGCACGTTTCCAAACCATAAATACCGGTTCTTTATATAAACGAAAAGAAAGGAATTTTTGCCATTGACGAATTGACGAAACAAAAAAGTATACGGACAAAAAAGTAAAAATTATCCTATTAGAATGCAGTGCGCGCGCGCAAATAACAAATTCATGTAAATACTAATCGCACATAAGCTACTCGAGTCTTGTTTGTGTTACGTATGTAAATTACAAAAAAAAAAAAAAAAAAAAGGGAAGCGTTGAGATGTTTCGAATCTTGTCAAAACTCTACACAATTCTACACAACATAGTTGCCTACGATATTGTGGAAAAAAAAAACAAAAAAACAAAAAAAAAACAATTAGCTATTACCTACCATCGAGTGTATATCGCAACATAACAAAACGCATGTCCTTATGTAAAAATTTAAACACAGAATACACATTTATCAGTTAAATTATGTATTATTGAATGTTATGATTGATTAAATAAAGTAATATGACACTTTATACTTTTAGGCTTTTGAGTGTGAAAATGATTTTTTGGTTGTTTTGTTTTTCTTTTTTGATTTTGACTTCTCTGTGTATGTACAATAATTTATACAGTCTGTCTATAAGTAACAATAAATTTAAAGTGTGCTATATAATTTTTTCTCTGTATGCAATATTTTTAGAAAAAAATTTTACAATTGGATTCCTGACAATAAAATTGACAGTAAAGTGTAATTAGATCAATAAATTGTAAATTAGAAAACTCTTCAAAGTTCTTATCAGATATCACAATCTTCTATAACTTTTCTATAAATTATCTGAAAAATGATACAAATATTACACAAGAACACAAGTGTACACCTGACATAACCTAACCCTAACCTAACCTATTGTCACATGTGTGTGGTTAATAATTTTACTCACATGAGTGTATATAAAAATTCTCACATCACGCGGTAATGTTATGCAAATTTACAATAATTTTCTCACACACTTTTCGTACACACATTCCGTCTTATTAAAGTCACGTTATCAAATCGTTTTAATTAACGTAACATATGTTCATCCGATGTGTTTGCACAGATATCAAGATGCGTATATCATTGTTATTTTTGCACTTTATCACTTTCTTGTATGCAGATTTCGTACTTAAGCAAACATACTTGTGAGATATATCTCGTATCGCACGTATCTGTGAGACAGCAAAAATACGTACCTTTATCAAGTTGAAATCGCTTGACATAAGCGCATTCTGAGAGAAGACGGACATTTCAACTTTTTCTCTACTTCGTTCCCTCAATTACGTTTATCTCGGTTTAATTTTTGGTAGGTAATTTTTTTTAACTAACAATGTGTAACACGCGATGCACGAGAGAGAGAAAAAGAGAGAGAGAGAGAGAGAGTGAGAGAGAGAGAATTGACATCTAGATATGCATACTGTTGACATGTACAATTGCATGTAAACGCCAACACTTTGATGACAGTAGCGCATCTGCATCGCACAGGATGAATGCGGGCGATGCAGAACGCCAGTGGTGTCATCTATCGTACACGTGCGACTCTCTTGCTTTGCGCTCTAATTGCATTCGATTATAGCCACCCTGTACCCGCCTCCGCCATCTCTGTGACCGCGGCAGACGACGACAACGAACAACAGAGTGTTTGACTTCAGTGCAGTGTGTTTTCTCCCGTCAATCTCAACTCTTGTCCTTCCTGACAGGCCGGAGGAAGGTTATCCCGTCAGGAAAATGGCTTATAACTTTCCTGGAGTTCCGGCAACCACCATGCCGCCTATGGGTAAGAATTGATTTTAATCTCTCTTTGATTACTTTTGCTTTTCAGTCTAATTGCTATCGAGAAAACGTTACTTGAGCCGAGTTGATTTTTATCATGTAACGCACGACTCGCAGGTATGGGACCTATGGGTCCTCTGGGTCCCATAGCTGGACCGCAGAGCTTCATGGAACTTACTGGTCAAGGTTTTCCACCGTTGCCGCCACCCTTGCCACTGCCCGGAATGAACGACTCGCCTCTCGAGTTCAGTACGAATAAGAATCAGCCACCGGTGATACGGGAAACTACAGACGACAATAACGACAGAAAGAGCGACAAGAGTGACAACAAGAGAGATCGGGAAAATAGAGACAATCGTGACACGAGAGACAGCAGAAGGTACTAATTTTTTTTCTTCAATTCTTTTTTTTCTTCTTTTTTGGAATAAAAAAACAAGTAAGTTTTCTTTCACATCGGTATATCATCATCTTTTATCAAGTCACATAAATGTAAATCTAGTTATAGCTTTGTATGTTATCTGACATGAAAAGGTCAAGAAGCGACCGTAACGATAGGCGCGATCGAGACCGAGACAGAAGAGACGACAGAAGCGATCGAGACAGAAGGGACGATCGGAGAGGAGACGAGAGGAATAACGCGAATTCTTCCAAAAATAGCAACAACCTCCCAAACAGTTCCAAAAACAACGAAGTCTTATCCACCACAAATACGAGCAACATTTCGAGTATAGGCACGCAAATGGAATCTGCCGCGAGCGTATGGGGAATGGGAGTGGGTTATCCCATGATGGGGATGAGCCCGATGGGACCGATGGGTCCTATGATGGGCGAAATGACGTTGGGTCCGCACATGAGCCACACGCACGGTTACAATCCGATGAGTGTGAGCATGATGTCGCACGACGGCATGATAAACGCCCAGATACTTGGCGCTGAACAAATTATGTCGGACGCGGCGCAGATAATGACCGCGAGTTTACCGCCGCCGCCCACACCACCTCAGAATACCAAGGAGATCATACACTGCAAGAGCTGCGTGTTGTTTCCGCCGAATCCGAACGCACCGCCGCCCACCACGCGAGAGCGACCACCAGGATGTAGAACGATCTTTGTCGGAGGTAAATTTTTGACAGTCGAGTGTTATATTAAGCCAATCAACTTCGAATTTCTCATGGTTGTGTAATATTTTTTTTTTTTTATTTTTTTATTTTGTTGCGCAGGTCTGCCCGAAAATATCACGGAAACTATAATACAGGAGATATTCGAACGTTGTGGGGAAATAAGTACTCTGCGTCTTTCTAAGAAAAACTTTTGCCATATACGATTTCTTTTGGAAGCGAGCGTCGACGCGGCTATTTATTTGTCCGGTTATAGAGTAAAAATAGGACAAAGCGGAGAATCCGCGAACACCGGTAGACTTCATGTGGACTTTGCTCAGGTTTGTTGAAAGTTTGATTATTTAATTAAAAAAAAAAAAAAAAACTTCGCCTATTTTTCTTGAATATTAATTGTTTGGATAATTTTTTATATATAGGCTAGAGATGATCAATACGAATGGGAGTGCAAACAACGACAGCTGCAGAGAGAACAACGTCATAGAGAGAGGGTGGAAAAGGAAAGACAAAGACCACCGTCGAGTCCGCCCCCGGTGGTCCACTACACCGATCACGAAGCGTCAAACATCTGTGAGAAAATTAAACAAGACGACACGTTTATGATAGCAGTACAAGTGAGTATATTGTCCGAATATAAATTTATCTTGCCAAAAATATTCGAGCAGAATTTTCTCTAGAATTTTCACAATGTTCAAATAATTGTCTCAGGTTGTTGTAACGTGGTTAGAGCGAGGGGACTGCACGAAACGCAACGCCAATACCTTCTATTCTATGATACAATCGACCAATTCGCACGTACGACGACTTCTGACGGAGAAAGCCTCGTACGAGGAGGAGCTTCAAAAGGCCAAGGAACTGATGAAAGGAAGAATGCAGGGACTTCTCATACAATGTACGTATACGCACTTTGTTTTTTTCTCTTCTCTCTAGCTCCGTATTATCATACATATTTCGTGTGCGTTAAGAAAAATATGCACGCGCACACAAACATACCGCATTGGCTGGTAAGTTCACCCTGGCATAAAAAAGTAGGTCCAACAACACAATTCGAAGAAATCATCTCTTCTCCTTTATTTGGATAAAGCAAACGCAACAAAACAAAACAAAACAAAAAAAAAAAAAAAAAAATCGTAATTATTCATCACTCGAACGTAATCCGTGCGAGGAATGACAATGTGGCGGCGTTCAATTCGCATTATCGTTCGCATTTTGTTGTGTTGACGACGAATCTCTTTACACGCCACGTGTTTTTCGTGTTCGTGATAAAAAAACGCAGAGATTTTTCTTATCCCAGTCACGAAGGTACGTTAAACAAAATCGTCGTTATACACGTGATATATTTAATTAAAAGTAACGATGTTCACATTGACATTTAAGGTGACAAGACAAAGGCTGTGATTGTAATCAGGTACAAAATTCAAATCGAACTTTTAAAAGCTTGTCGACGTATGACATCTCGAGAAATGTCGATATTTTGCGTATATTCAGTGATATGCTTGTGACGTAAAATTAAAAAAAAAAAAAACAAACAAAAACAAAAAAAAAAACTTGATATTTCACTACACGACGAGCATCTCGTCATTTAACTTTTAAGCGATCGTCTCATCCGTGTATCATAGCGAGAGCTCGTCGTACGAATTCTGTTTGTGGTCAGTGCACAATTGGAGGCGGCTCGGTAGGAAGGATCAGATTGTAGGCGAGGATAAGGTGGGTGAAAAATCCTATCTTCTCGGATTTAGGAGCCAAGAAAACCGGGTGAACGTGAGAGAGAGAGAGCGGTTTCTCGCAATATCTCATAGAATTATATAGACTGTACTTGGAAAGTTGCATGCCTGGCAATGCTAAGGGTTAAGGGTGATGGATCCGGACGTTCGTTGTTAAGTGACTATCTCGCGTGTGATCAAATCGCATTTTCCGATCTTCCGAAAATCTCTGCGAAATGGTCGTAACGCACACACAAATATCGTAGTATAAGCGCGCGCTAAGATCAATTTGCGCGAAACAACGTGCGAAATAGTCCTTAGCATCGGAGGTCCGCGGAATTGCAAGTTCTCGGAATTACATTATCCGCAATTAAGGTGGACGGGCGAACAATGAGAGCAGAATGTTTGGTGAAAGCAACTTTTTACGTTTAGATTTAGATGCGCTCTGACACTGTCTCGGCACAATCTATGTGAGACTCCTCGTGAGATTTATTTGTAGCTTGTACATACGTATAACCGGTACACACTCTGATTTAGTAAAAGAAGAAAGAGAGAGAGAGAGAGAGAGAGAGAGAGATACTGTTTCCCGACAAGGAATGTCACAATAACGCTAAACGTTGTTTAACATGACGAGTGTACGCGAGTGTAAAAAAGTAGAGAAAAGCATAGACCAAACTACCGAGCTTAGAGTTTCAAGCAAAAGGTATACAACGGAGGATTTGTTGTGTTTTCTTTGTATGCAACATGCGACCATGTCATCAACAGTCAGTCAGATCGAACGAGTCTTTACTGCGGCGAGCCACAAGAAGGTCTGGGATCACTTCACTAAGGCGCAACGGAAGAACATCGAAATGTGGAAGAAGCAATCTTCGGTATGTATGTAAATGCACTCTCACATGCTGAATACAGCGTGTCTTCTCTTGGTTACTTCTTTCTCTCTCGTGTAACTTAAAAACAAAAAAAAACAAAAAAAAGCGATCGCGGATTGTCCTTGTCCTCTGATCGCAAATTATCTATAAATTTGTTTTTTCTTCTCTCCTCCGCGCCTTTTTTGCACGACACCTCCTGTAACACGCTCGTTTCGCAAAATTGCAATATTTTGCATTATTCTAAGATATCACAGGTAAGTGAACAATTGAAGAAGCAATCAAACCGCCTGCAGATAATGAGAAAACGGTCAGACACACGCTTACCTTCGTGCGTTACAATTCGATTCCTTTTTCCGTGGAATGCCGTCGCCGACAGGGTGTATGGCAGATTAAATCCTGTCGGCAACACGCACAACATTAAGAACAACTACATGTGGAACAGAAGGTAATAAACGACATATGAGCGCTTTTTCGAAAAAAAAAAAAAAAACCTCGAAAAGCAATCACCACCACCTCCTTTTTCCTCGAGCATGGATTTGCCTTAATTTTCCCAAACAAGTACGAGTATGATTTCTGTACTTCAGAGCTGCACATCTACCACTTACGTTCTCAGGTAAGCCCAAAAGTGTTCTTGAAAAAAATAAAAAAAAAAAAATAAAAAAAAGGCGAGCAAAAATCCCGTAAAATATTTTTCACAACAATGGAAAACTGTGTGTGCGACACACACAATCGCGCGCGACTATAGCACTTCGACTCTGAATTACAGAAATTTACAAAAACAAAAAACAAACCGCGTGTAAATAAGAAGAAAAACCAGTGCTGTACATTCGAAACGATAGATTCACGGTCACATTTAGGGATTGTATTCAAATACAAAATTTATTTTAACGACAGATACATATATATAGAAAATTATTACATACTTTGCATGCATTTGTGTGAGAAAACGACATTCACCTTTTTCTGATCACTTTGTGATTTATCGTTGTTCGTGATACGGCAGGAAATAAAAGCGGTGCAATTGGAAGACAGTCTGATCGAGGGCGAGGGTGAGATGGACGTGTCGGATTCGGAAGAGGAACCGCAACGTAAAAAAACGCGCAATCAAACGGACGGTACTGAAGATGTTGAAAAACTGCAAACTCTGAAAGAGGAGAACGACAGTCTGAGATGTCAACTGGAAGCGTACAAAAATGAGGTGTGTATTAAACACTCGCGAACCGATCTAGCGACGTTGGCGAAGCTTTGACACGTGAAATTTGAAAAAAATTTTTCAAATTTCCGTCAGGTGGATCTTCTGAAGTCAGAAACGAAAGCGGAGTTGGAGGCGAAGGAGAAGCAAATGAAGATGTTGCAACAGACGTTGAAGGGAATGCAAGAGCAGCTGATGCAATCGCGCAAGCAGCTGGCGCAGGACGATCAGAAGATTAAGGATTTGACGATCAAGTTGAACGCTACAAAGAAAGACGAGCCCAGAGAGAGCGAAATCATCACCCTCGACAAAGACGACGACATAAGCGAGGAGCCGCGTACGCCAAAGCAGCACATCCTTACCGCCAACTTTGTGCAAGTTACTCAGAAAGATGCCAAGCTCATTGGTAAATATATCTGTTGTCTCTGATGAGATAATTGTACCGCAACGGAGAAAAGATAAATTAATTTGAGACACTCTTTATGTGATTTGTTTCATGAGATGTGTTTAATTATAATTAATGATGACGAAATATTACAGGACTTATAGCGACGTTTCTACACATTCATCCGTTCGGTGCGAGCGTGGACTATTTGTGGTCCTATTTGCAGAAAATGGAACCCGGCATCAAACCGAACGAAGTCGAAGTTCTGATGCAGCGTTTCCCACAGGTGTTCAAACAAGAGCTGTTCGGTATCGGTGCAAATATGGAGAGGCGTTGGCAGTTTTCAGGATTTAACGTTTATCGCAACCATTGATGAAGATCTCTACTACTGAATGTAAAAAAAAAAAAAAAAAAATGACAAGAAAGTACACTTCTATTGTTGTTCCTTTCTCGTTTACTTATAAATATGACTCATAAGTGCAATCGGTGATAAATAAGTGTATAGCTTTTGACTAATTTTGATGTGTGAATAAAAGTACCTTCAATAATTCATTTTAACTACACGCAAATATCTCTTTTCACCTACGATCGTAACAAATTTTCTCTGTTATTGGAAGAGACGAGAAGAAAAAGAAGCTGAGAATCACGTATTCCAAATCTCAGTATTAATTTTTATTAATAATTAACATACAAAGATGTTTTTTCGGGTTTGAACCGCGTTAGTGTCATTTTTATACCGACGTTTCGTATCAGCAGCCTGATACTGTATCAGGCTGCTCTTCAAACCCTGATGAAGTGAGCTGTAATGTTTACGAAACGTCGGTATAAAAATGACACTAACGCGGTTCAAACCCGAAAAAATATCTTTGTATGTTAATACTACACACCGCGAAAGCATCAAATATCAAATTTATTAATAATTTATTTTATTAATAATTAATTTACTCACTTTACGAAATAACGTAAACTGCGTTAGAGAAAGTTATAATGTGTGTAGAAAATTACGGAATCGATATCTATATAGATATCTACTGTGCGAGCTGCAAAACGACTAGCCGGTGCGACTCGTGTCACACACTTGCTGACATTTGCGCAGTGTAGTATAGGTTATGTTGGTCAAAAATTGGCACTTGAGTTTTCTTAATTCAACTGATCGAGGTGAGTCAAAATAGTACATGTGATAAAAAAAAATTTTAAACTTTCCGAATTTATTGATTACTTACTGAAATAAAACGCACACAAACCTTTCTTCAGGCATATCGTAGTCAAAATCTTCGTTCAGCAGAACAATGTGTTACAACGTGCAAGACTCTCAATGAGATAAAAAAAATTTAGATCTAGAGACAAAAGGTGTTGCGACAAAAGAAACAAATGGATTGTTACGAGGTGCTTGGCTGCAGCAAAGACTCTACACACGAGGAAATCAAACGTGCTTATCACCAGCGCTTGTTGCAGTTTCATCCTGATAAGAATGTCAATATCAATTCTGCTGACCCTCGCGAGTATTTTGAAGTTTGCAAAGCTTGGCAAATATTAGGAGATCTGCATAGAAAAAAGGAATATGACGCAAAGTGCAAGCAAGAAAACTTTGAAGAAGAAGACAAACCCGTCTACGCGCGTTTGTCAATCATTGATCTCGACGTGAAGTCTTCCTGTCAAGATACATTCTATCCCTGCAGATGTGGCAGCAAATACGTCATAAAGCAAGATTATCTTCAAGAAAAAAACGTTTTGTTGGAAATAGCATGTGAGAGTTGTACACATGTGATTTTTGTTGAAACATAGTAAAAAATCTTGAAATGTGTAAGTCAGGTAAAAAAAAAAAACACTCAAAGAATTTGTTGGATAAATCAAATTGCGTAAAAAAAAGATCAAACTTTTTTCTTTGCTTCTTTTTCCTCACAAAGAAAAAAGTTTTCAAATGCCAGATCGCGAAAAAATTTATTCAAAAAACCAATTGAACAAATTCAATTGCATTTATCAGTTCTCGAAAAAATTGTCAACAAAATTTCTCAAAGAATTTCAGGATTTTTCAGACAGCAGACACTCTGACGTAATATAAATGAGACATTATTCACAATTTATGTAGAAAGAGGTCGAAATCGAACATTTATTTTGTACAAAATATGTTTCTTAGCACAAGAACGTGTGTACAGTAATTTGTAATAAAAAAAAAAAAAAAAAAAAACAATCTAAAATATGCGGCAACATCTTTTTCTATTTCTTATATATAAAAAAAAGAAATGATACAACAGGTAACACATTCTTATAATATAAACTATTGAGCAATATACAAATAAACACGACACCTAGTCTAACCTAGGTCCAATAATAAAAAGATGCATTTGCACAAATTGCATTACGCAGATAATGCCATTCATGACATGTGATTCAGTAGAATCCATATAAAATACACATCATCGACAATCGCTGTCGTGATCTAAGTCTTCGTCGTATAATTCGTGCTAAATGGAAAGATCTGGCTAATACAAATATTCTCCTTTTAAGAAAGTCTCAAGTTGCTCACCAGTCAGGCCGATACTCACATAATATCCGATCTTATATTTACGATCATTTTAAGTTTATGTTAAGATGCCATTCCTTTCGTTGGATTTACGGATTCATCTGAAGCTGAATTTAAGACAATCTTAAATACAAGATCTAACTATATACACGAGAATATCAGTCTTAGAGTGAGATCAAAATTGTTTTTTTTTTTAAGACTCCTAGACATTTCTGCAGCCATATTTGAATTGTGATGTGAGAAACTTTTGCGTGAGTTTTTGTTTTGCAACTTACATTGAATAGTTTTTTTTTTTTACTATCAGCATAATTCGAAAGTTTAAATTGATACTAATTTATCAAAAATCTTCTTTTTTCGATTTATAGGTTCGTAAACGTCTATAAATCTTTGAACATAGAGTAAATTTATATAACAAAAAAAAGATTTTTAAAAAGCCATTTTTATTTTACCAATTTAAGTTTTCAAATGCGATGGCATAAGAGAAACTTCGACGATGTTTTTCGGGTTTGAATCGCGATTTTAATGTCATTTTTATACCGACGTTTCGTGAACATTTCAACTCACTTCATCAGGGTTTCAAGAGCAGCCTGATACCAGTATCAGTTAATACAATACACCGCGAAAGCGTCAAATATCAGATAAAAAAAACTTCTTTATCTCGATCTAAAACGCAAAACAAAAATTCATACATACATGGGCGTTTATACGTGAAGTTACAGCAGGGAGCACCGTATCGTGCGGCTCCAGGGGAAGTATTTCTCGGAAATTTCTTCTTTAGCTGCTCCTATTACTGCGCGCTCTTCTCCTTCGATTTCGGACCGTTGGCGGAGACCGAAGAAGAATGGCGCGCGATAGTATAGAGCATCCAAAGAAATTCCCGAAAAATATTTCCCCTGGACCCGCACGATATGGTGCTCCCTACTATACATATATACTACTGTACATATTTCATTGAGACGTTCATTAATGCAACTTCATTAATAAAGGCATAAATATAGCTGCAGAAACGCCCAGGAGTTCCCAATTAATGAAAATAATAAATGTTTTGTTCTAATTCTGTGCAAAACTGTTACTGTTGTTCATCGTTTATCTGTAAAATCTGTATTGCACGTGAACAAGTTAATTTTTTTTCTTTTTTTAAATTTTATATTGCACCACGACAGAAAAAACACACACATGCAACACTTGTAAACAAGTTTTTTTTATTACGAATAAAAAAAAGATTAAATCTGATTCGAATTATCGTCGTATTCGATTGCCGATATCTTCGCGCTCTTTCTTCGAGTAAAATGTTAATAATATGAAAATATCAGCTTGTAAACATCTTATAAAAATATTTGTCTTTAACCAGATCGATGATTATACAGGCAAGTAAAACCTAAAGTTACTTCATCAGGAAATAGATCGAAGCTAATTTGACAGAAAGTAATTCAATGATTAATCGATTTGTCCGATAAAATTATGCAATGTCATTATTTATACAAACAAGTTTGAGAATTTTTCATAAAAAAAAAAGTCTGTATACGGTAGACTCCTGATATAAGTCAGTCAGAAAGTTCGAGAGGGATAAAAAAAAAAAAAAAAAAAAAAAAAAAGGGTCTGTTTTCCAATTGCCCTTTTGCCAGGAAACGCTGCCCCAAGTTCGCGCGAAGAAGTTGAGCTGCATATGCTGAGTGATGTGAGGGCTGCGCACATATGTATTTATTATTGCGGAAAAGAAACAAATCAGCGTTGGCAAAAGATATATATATGTATATATATAAGTATATATAAAGAGAGAAAACACTTGAATGTTATCTTATTGATCTTATATAAAGATCAACTGATCCAATTCTCTTTATCCCATATTAAGATCTGGATTTTACATCAAGATCAATTGATCTTATATCAAGAGTCTTTTGAGACCTAATGTGATGTGTCGGAATTGTCGTCGATTTTCTCGTTTGCTCCAGGGAGAGTATGAGATTCTTCAAATAATGTCATTTTGCCTCGAAGTAGTTTACGTCTCAGTCGCCTCGTTTTCGTCTGCCATCGTTGACAAATGCTCCTAAATGCCCACACAATAAACCCGTTATATTTACAATGAATCTGTTTTTTTTTTGTTTTTTTGTTTTTTAGGTATGTTGTTTTGTTTTTACTTTTGTATTCTTGTTTGATTCTACTGAATCTTGTTTACAACAGCGAAAAGTCAGAAGTACACTGATAAGCTCCTCGTTTTATTTTCCCGTTCCCTTCTTTCCCCATAAGTTTATGAGTCTTATAAATTTCACGTTTTGTACACACCACAGAGACGCGTCACGTCGTTTTAACAAAACGATTTACTTTTATAATTTTTTTCGACGGACACTTTTTTATATATATTGTGTATGTGTGTACGTGTGTATATATATATACATTATATATATATGTATATATATATATATATATAATGTATAACGATCCATCTACAGATCACTCGCTTCAATTCCCATGTTCCGTCCCGTGCTCTATCCCCATTTCGCGATAACTTCACCCGATTTTTACGACGCGTACAGTCTTATCACAATCACACCATGATAATACATGAATCATTGTACAGCGTTGCGTTAGACTACTTAATTGAAAATATGTACAGAGAAGTCGTACAAAGAGGGCGATAGAGTCCACGCGTATTTGTGGAGCACACTATTTTACCTCAACGTCGAAATCGAGGACAAGCAGTTTCGTCTCCTCGGTACCGTTACGACTACCTACTGCACACACTAGTTTCGTATCACTCGCTCTGATCCGCCACACGACACCGCCGCTACCCCCGCTTTCTAGTGCAATTAGATTCCTAATAAAATCACCTGCAAACACGATGCAAAAGTTTGTTGTTTGACGAGCAATGCACATATATAAGATTTGAAGATTCTAAACAAAACGATTTAGAAAACGATTTAGAAAACGTAGAGAAAGATACAAACCAGTGTTAACATCCCAGAGTTTTACAGTACCATCGTCGGAGGACGTGATCACAAAATGGCTATTGAACTGAAGGCAAGTAACCGCGGACTGATGTTTGTTCGGACCGGAAAGAGTTTGAAGGCAGTGACCGCTAACGATGTCCCATACTTTAACGGTGGAATCAGCATTGCCGGATACTAAAATATTATTGCGCAATTCCATTCCCGAGGTGAGCGACTGATGACCCATAAGAGTATGTCTACAAGCACCGGTTTCTACTTCCCATACTCTTATACTCGTGTCCAACGATCCGCTAACAACGTGCACACCGTCAAACTAACGAGATGAAACAGCAAACAGACGGTTGTCAATAATGAGAACAAAAAGCTGACATTTAGATAGATAAAACACACAAATTACATTTCTTTACCTGGAGAGAATAAACGCGATTGGTATGTCCGTGTAAGGTATGAAGGCACTCCTCGCGCTCCGGATTCCAAACTTTTACTAGGTAGTCGTAAGCACCACTGACTACCAATCTACCGTCGTATTGCACACATCTGACTGCTGCTAGATGTCCCACGAGCACATGCAAGCACTCTCCTGTATCTATTTGCCACACTCTTAGCGTAGCGTCCCTGCTACCACTCACGACCTTGTTACCGTGGAGATGCATGCATCTCACTGTTGAAGTATGACCGTATAATGTATGAATGCACTGTCCGGTCTCTGCATTCCATACTTTTAAAGTACGATCTGTACTACCACTGATAACAATGGTGCCAGACATTTGAGAGGACCACACACCTCCGGTATGCCCGACTAATGTTCGTAGACACTGAAACATCGAGAAAAACGTGTGACACAGTTGCGTGCGGCAGTCTCGGCCTTCTATTTTCGCGGACCAATTGCCGCTTAAATTACCTTGCCCGAAACGGCAGACCACACTTTGAGGGTATTGTCATCCGAACCACTAACTATCCGATTGCCCGAAAATTGTAGACATGTAATTACATGGTCATCGTGACCCTTCAACACTTTTGGCTCGCGAATCGGTTTCATTCGCCAGTTCATCTTAATATTGTGTTGTCGCATATAAGCTTGTTTCCACGGCGACGAACTATAATTACTACCACTTCGACAGTTTTTCCGTTTCGGCGGTGGCAGGTCTTTTAGATCTTCTATACCGGCCGCTTTGCATTTTTCCTTCCACAGAAGATTGTCATCGGCTAAAAACCGCCAATTCCGACAAGTCTGCGCCGCTCGCAGAAGATCCTTCGGTTCCAGGAAGGCCAACACTGACAATGCCAACTCTTTTGGAAGTAGAGATATGAAGTCTCTCTGAAACTGCGGCTCTATCACCTGCATCATATGACGCACTTGCGTAGGCTCACATCTTTCTATTAATTCATCTATCGCCAACATTCTCTCTGCGTTTGACCACCTCTGCAACAACACAAATTTATTTCCATTATCTTCATGATTTGTTTAAATTTTATAGCAACTGCAGTTTTCTCGTTTATTTTTATTATTTTTTAATAAGAATATTAAATAAAATTTAATAAGAATATATTAAATTATAATATACCTGAAATTGCAAAAGCCAACTACTCATTTCAGGTGGAGGATTGTCCTTAGTAGGAATGACACTTCTTACATGTTTGCTTTTATCATCTAGCTTTCTTGCAACTCTGAAAAACAAAAAAAGAAAAATATTAAAGTATCATATAAATATAGTCTCCACAAGATAAAAAAAATGATACTTACATTGTGTGAGGTTTTTCTTCTGGATTGAGTTTTTTACACGGCAAGCAATACTCTGTTTCACTCTTTCGCTTTCTTTGAGACTGAATAACATCGGATGGCACGCAGTTATGCGACACTGGACTCTGACCTTGTTCAAAGAAGACCGCTTGAGACTGTGATACTGGTGATTGACAATTGTTACTCTCCACCTCTGCTGTACACTCCGTATCACAGAATAATCCACTGTCACTAATCTAACAACATTAAAAAGCATTAATCACAAGAACAATACCGAACTTGCAGTTAAGTTTTGCAATTTATTCTATAACGAAGATGTAAATAAAATACAAGAGATTGTCACTAGTTGCTGATGACTTACTTCACTTTCTCCTTCACTGGTCTCGTCCTCATCCTCATCCTCGTCATCTCCATAATCCTCAGATTCTTCATCTTGTGGTAAAACTGAATGCATAGGATCCAAAGAACTTGGTCCTGGCAATCCCTCAATACCCTCGATCGGACTAGGACTGGCACCGCCTAGTTTATTATTGTCAGATATATTGTTGGAGGATGAAGGAGGGACAGACATTACTATACGCAGTAGTAGTATTAGGGTTTATAAGTATAGTAACTGTAACCTAAACAAAAGGAACAAAATGATCATTAATAATTCATGTATGTACAAACGAACACTTTTTTTTTACTGATCTTTTATCTGCCACGCACGTCTTGTACATAAAAGTGATATATGCAAATAAGTGACAATTTCAACAAACGCGCGAGTCTACTGAAAAAAAAAACAGCGGGGTGTCGCTGCTTCGTCGCCTGTTGAGAAATCTCACGCGTAAACTGAAAAGAAAAATTATCGGAAAAAAGAAGGAATAGGAAAAACAAATTCAACCAACATTCATGCAACAGTCTAGGTTAAACTCCACGAGATAACGATTATCGTTATCGCAGCGAGGATTTACCTAACCTTGAACCGTGTCTGCGCCGTGCGTGTTGCGCTTAAGACACGATCACGCAGCCGAAAATATTGCTAAGAACCAAGAAACTCTTCGCAGCCACACCCCACGTTGCCGCGCGTGCAACTTTACGAGACATGCCGCATAAGGTGAAAACGAGTCTCTATATATACTTAGGACGAAATGCCGTTTTCCCAGGTGGTCGGGGGGATCGTCTCTTTGTGTCTCCCACAAGCCTACGGGCGATGTTAAGCCGAGGAAGATAAAAGAAAGTCCCGTACGTGCGCGCTTGTCAACGACGAGACGCGTTGTTTCTATCAAAAGATCATGACATTCATCTCGTTTCGGGTGCAGGTATCTGTCTCGTATCACAAAGATGACGGATCTTTAGGTTAGAAACGGGATGCGAACGCGACGATCCCGGATGAGGGAAAAGGCCAGCTCTAGGCCAGCACGATTGTCGAAAGAAAAATAATAAACAACGAGCGTAAACACGACGAACGTGAATCCATCGGGAAGCCTCTTGGCTGCTACCAGATATAAATTTTGCTTCGCACCTCCCGGACTCCTTCGCACAGCAGTGCACAGCGAGCTCGCGCGCGCACACACGTACACACACACACACACACACGTACACGACTGCTGTTGGACTGTTGGGGCACATGCAAACACGTAGCAGCAGCAGCAGCAGCAGCAGCACGTCGCACTCGCGAGCCACGTTCTCACGCGGTCGCGTGACTCGATATTCCGTAAATTTAATATAACAAAAAAAATTATAAAACGTTTCGGCATTTAAGTTTTCACGATTATCAGTCGTTAAATTTTGTGTAAAATCCAAGACTTGGGAATAATCTTCGTCTATTTTTTACAGATATTTTTTTTTTTTTATCGATTTATCTCAGAGCACACAAATAAATAGAAAACATACCGGATGTCCAACTACCGAGAGACTTGAGTTGGATAAAATAAAATACAATGCATTCTTTTGTACAAAAGCATCGTCAGGTGCAACACCGCTGTCCTTCGAGGCCAGTGAACCGCATTCCTAACCTTCTCTTCCTAGATCTAGCCGGAATGTAGATTATTGTTCTTAGGGTCAAGCGATTTGATCCAGAAGGCGGAAGGCCAATAGCACGTACGTAAAGCAAGTGTTCGGTCCGTTCAGAGAAGAAAGAGCACCGAGATGTATCGTCAATTGGTTATTGAATAGAGAATTTTCTAGTTGCGCTTCGTAGCGAACAACAAGACAGCGCCAGAATGGCCATAACGAAACAACCAGAAACCACTTTCACCACAGAGAGAAGATCTGAAAGATACAAACTCAGTGAATAAAATTACTATCTTTGATTTGGTTCTGTTCTGTGCTATGTGCGCTCTGCTTGCGCGCGCGCGCAAGCGCGTCGATTCGATATTTCGAAGATATCATTATTCGATATATCGAAGTATATCGCGCGTTTCGATACACTCGAATTAGTAGCGAGCAATTATGGCGGACGACGCGCGACGCGGAGTCGGAACCATGTCCCCGTAACTTGTTCCCGTAATTTCTTGCCGTTATTGTCGTTTCGCGCGCAAATAGCGGTTGTGTAAGTGCGAATCGTAAAGTGCCGGGCGTTCGCGGTGACAAATAATTATTATAGCATATAAATGTCGCGCACTCTAAATAATTATTATAATATATAAATCTCGCGTAATTGGCGAATTTGTGACAACATTGCGTCGCGGGTGTAGGGTGCGCGTTTTTATAATACGCGCGCGCGAGAAACAATGTACTTGCACGCGTTGCTGCAGCTGAACACAATTTATCGTGTTTAAGAACCAGAAACGTAAAACACATAATGATGTAAAAACTATATGTATTGAAAACTGAAAAAGACGATTGAAACAACAAACAGCATCAGAAACTTGTTGCAAATATTACTACGGAGCAGATTGGAATGTAATCAAGTGAGTGATAACTCCTTGGATCATTTTTGCTGCTATTAATATATCAAATATTTTAAAATTACTATACATTTTGCGCTTCTGTGAGAGTGTGTGCAAGCGTGAATTTACTGTACTTTAAAAATTAAAATGACCGACCTCAGGAAGAAGAACAGAAAAGGATGGAGAATAAAAATTTGCAACTTTTCCTTGATAGGAAAACATTTACAAAATTATGTGACGAAAACTTGCACTAAAATTGTAATTTGCAATTATACAGATATAGTTTAGAAAATAGATGTAAAAACATTGATCTTTTATAAAATATATGTAGTTGTTTGCAAAATTATTCTTCAAATACTATTTTAACAAAAGAATAACGATATTTCGAATCATCTTAGCAATATATTTGCAAAATTAATTTCAAAAAGAAATTGTCCAATAATTGAGAAAAAAATTTCAGCTATGTGATGTTTAAAATATGTAGAAATATGATCGCGTATGAAGAAATGCAAGAAATCGTCGTCACTCATGATGTCATATTTGTACAATATTTTCACAATTTGCCTATTGGAGATATATACACAGTTTGTCCGGAAAGTTCCCGGACT